CTTGCTCTTTTTATACTTCAGGTCTTCATGGAGTCTGTTGCCCTAACTTTAGATAATTCCTCTTCTTCCTTAAATTTTAAAGTCCTATTCCTTAAGAAGTCTTTGTTCTTTCCCTAAACTAGGTTAGACAGCTCTGCCATGTGACATTATTGCACCCTGTCCTTTTCTTTTGAAGTATTCATCATCTCATGTGATCCTTTTAATGGCTGTCTTGTCCAACAGACCAGGGTAAACAATAGCCCATGGGTCAAATCCAGCCCCACTGCAGTTCTATTGGAACCTAAACACACTCTCTTATTTATGCTTGTTGATGACTGCTTTTGCATTTCAATGGCAAAGTTGAGTAGTTGTGAGAGGCCATATAGCCTGAAAACCCCAAATATTTATTATCTGTCCCCCTAGTTTGCCAAATGCTGCATTAGACTATAAGCACCATGAATACTGAAATCATGCCTGGTGTTCTCATTTCTATATTCCCAGCACCTAGAGTAATGCCTGACACATAAGTATTTCTGGATTAATTGTATTTCAGTCTCAAGCTTTAACCCATCTTGTCAGTGATACAAATGAGATCACATTAATTGGCCTGTGTTTATAACATTATAATCACTGCTTATCCAGATAGTGATTGTAGTATTCTAGTCCAAGGTGGGAAACAGAATTAACCAAGTAATAAACAAATGAATAGATTATTACAACCAGAGGTAAGTACTATGGAAAAAAGGAACACTGTACAATTAGAATATGTAACAGAAAACCATAATCAAATATAAAGTTTGGGAAGACTTCCCGGAGGAAGTGGCCTTTGACCTGAAATCTAAAGAGTGAACTAAGTGGGCAAAAGAGGTGGAGAGAAGGAACATGGCATGTCCCAGGAATTGATGCTCTTGTCAAATAATAAACTATAAAGTAAGTTCCTTGAAAAGTTAAGGGTAGGATCCAAAATGGACCAAATGCTCAGTGGGAGCACTCTATTGTTGGCCTACTGTGGGAAAGTGGTAAACTGTTTTATGTCCATAGCACAGTATATTCTGCACCCATTAAAATAATGGATATGAAAAATTTTAATTTGTATGGAAAGTGCTTCTATAATGTAAAGTAAAAAAAGTGGGACATTGCTTTCATTAAGTAATATATTCATAGAAAAATGTTCTAGAAGAAAAATGGACTAAAATGTTAATTATAACTGCCTCTGGGTGGGATTGAATATATTTTCTTTATGGTTTTCCATATTTCCTATGCTATGCATTTAAAACCTTTAAGATTGGAAAAATACATTTTACTGAGAAAATAAATATAAGTGTTGATTTGTATCTACACATTTGAGGATAGTCTTTCCTGAACCCTGGAATGAGGATATAAAATGAGGATCAAAACTCAGGAGAGTTCACTGTCAATAACAAAGATTACTAGTGGAAGTTTTCCTGGAATGTGATTTAAACTGTAGATATAAAAGTGCAGTGGGGGTATTGGGGCCAGGGAAAACTACCCGGAGATATGCTGTTCTGTATGACACCTTGCTTCTGAGATTCTGTATCTTATTTAAATCGGGAACTTAATCTAACCTTACTCCATGTGTGTTTGGCTTCTTCCTGCCTAGCCATAATCCATCAGAAATGCTCTGGTTTCAATTCTGGATATATAATTTAAATGAGGGTCCTGGAGAGCTCATGTATCAGCTCTAATATTACTCTATTCTGAAAGCTTCTTTTATTTTTTGTTCCTCAAACATCATCTTTAATTTATAGGCCCATTGGCTTCTCCCTTAAAACTATTACTGCTAATTTATGGAAGTGGGTGAGTTGAGAGTTGTTTTTAAAAAGTTTTGCTTCTTCCTGTAACTGAAATAAAAAGATAAGAACAGAAATTCTCACCACAATGATTAATTTGACTTCCCTTTAGTTTTTTTTTTTTAAAGATTTTATTTATTTAAGAGAGAGAGAATGAGAGATAGCGAGCACGAGAGGGAAGAGGGTCAGAGGGAGAAGCAGACTCCCTGCTGAGCAGGGAGCCCGATGTGGGACTCAATCCCGGGACTCCAGGATCATGACCTGAGCCGAAGGCAGTCGCTTAACCAACTGAGCCACCCAGGCGCCCGACTTCCCTTTAGTTTAAAAAAAAAGAAATAAAACCCCATTCTTTTGGTAAAAATATACTTTATTCATCATTCAGGCAATACATATTTGTGTGCCTATCTTACACCCAGGCAGACGCTATGAATCCATTGGGGGAAACCTGCATGAAGTCTTTTGAGAGTGCACAGTTGATACCAATTGCTTCCAGAGTTGGCCATACAGGGCTACCAAATCCCTTGGGGGAGGGGTGGGGTGGGAAATGAGTTTCTTTTCCATCATGGTTTCATAGAGGCAACACAGTGGATGAAGGGCTGAGTAAAAATTTCCTTTGGACTAGATCAGGCCTTTTCAACCTTGGCACTATTGACATTTTGGGTCAGATAATTCTCTCTGTTAGGGGGGCTGTCCTATGCATTATAAGATATTTAGCTGCATCCCTGGACTCCTACCTACTTGATATAGGTAGCAGTCCTTCAGATGTGATAATCAAAAATGTCTCCAGACAATTTACCAAATGTCCCCTGGGGGTGGGAAAGACAAATAATTTACCTTGACTTCCACTGAATTTACTAGAAAACAAACAAAAGCAACCAAATAATTGTATAAGAAAGAAAATACAAATTCTGCCAGATCACTATGCCCTTCTGCTTATTCTCTAGATTAGAAATGAATGGAAAAACACTGACAGGACAGTCCATTTCCTACAACAGAAATGACAAGCATATAGACCCTACTCAGAAGATTCTCTGCAGTAAAGAAGTAAAAGTAATAGATCCGGAGTTAGAAGGCTTGGGTTCTCGCTAAATAGCTTCACTTCTTTGGGCCTCAGTTTCCTGATCTATAAAACGGAGGTGTAGTGGAAAAGCAGTAGAGAGGTTTGTAAATAGATCTTTTAATTTTTTAATTCAATGACGTTGAAGATATAGTCTAGCCACTATACATGGGGCTAGTATATAAAAGATAAAAAGACAAGGTCCTTTCCTTCAAGGAGATTATAGTCTATTACAATGACAAACTAATAAACAACTACAATAATCTAAGAGTTATAATAGAAGCATGTACCAAAAAAAGTGGGAGCCTGGAAAGAACACCTAAATTTGTTTGGGGAAATCAGGGAGACTTTTACAAGGGAAATGGCATTTTAACTAAAACTTGAAAGATGAATACAAATTTTGGCAGGAGACAGGAAGAGCGAAGATATTCCAGTTAGAAAGGCAAAGGCAGAGAAATCTGATGCTTAAAAAAAAAAAAAGGTATATTTAAGGAACTGTAAGTACTCCAGTGGTACTAAAGGACATATAAAAAAGGTGAAATGACTATTATATTGTAGTTGATAATTTAAAATTTATGTGATAGACCATCCTTGTCGTGATGTAGAAAGTGAGTTTGGATGGGAATGAACCAAGAGGCCAATAAGTGACTACTGGAATAGTCCACCTAAAGGTAGTGAAAGCCTACAGAAGGTCAGTTATGTGGGCAGGAATGGGGAATATTCAGAGAAAGAATGGGCAAGACTTGAAGTCAGAATGTTGGAGCAATTATATAGCTAAGACTTACTGAGCACTTTATGTGTGCAATAGTTCATTTAATCCATATAATAAGCCTAATAGGGATGGAAAACAGTCCAATTTGCTAAAAATTAATTCGCCAAAGAATTAGTTAGTTAAATTTACCAAATACATGTTTTATAGAAAATCCACCTTAAATTTATTTAACAAACATATTCTCTGGTAAAATTACTTTTCAGTGAATTGGCTTTTGGTAAAATGACTTACAGCCTAAAATAATATACACTTATCCTCATTCTGTTGAGGAGAAAACTGAGGTTCAGCATTAGCAAAGGCAAGGCCAGGTCTAGAGAGCTAGAGCTTTTAATCTCTACATAGCTAATACTACTATAGGGATAAAGAAAACAAATGATCTAGAATATCTTTTTTTTTTTTTTTGCCATTGAACAGGTTAAAATTTATTACAGATTTGGAATTTACAAAATGTTAAAATGATCCTGATAACATTTGTATTGCAGGGGCTAAGCGGGGAGGGAGGGATGACCCAGCAGAGCAAAAAAGAGTTTTAGGGCCATGTAACTCTTCTGTACGACACTACAATGGGGGACAGGTGCCATTATACATTCGCCCAAATCCATAGAAAGTGCAACACCAAGAGTGACCCCAAATATAAACTGTGGGCTTCAGGTGATGATGTGTCAGCTCAGGCTCAGCAGCTGTAACAAAAGCACCACATGATACGGGATGTCCATAGTAGGGGAAGCTGTACAGGGGTGTGGACCGGGGTCCGTGGGAACTCTGTATTTCCCATTCAGTTTTGCTGTGAACCCAAAACTTCCTAAAAAATAAAAGTTAATTAATTTGTTTTTAATTTATCACAAAACTTCTTCCAGAAAACCCAGATTGGGTAGAAGTAACACCCATAAAAGAAAATTCCAACAAGAATTGCCATGATTTGTAAAACTTTGTAAGTGCCAAAAAACTAATCAATGAAGCAAATAGCCACTGTAAAATGCACCTGGGAAAGAATTGGTACCGACAAAAATGGAAGAAACTTAGGGCCTGTTTAATCATGTTCTGATCTAGAATATCTTGTTTCAGCTCTAATGTGTTATGATGTTAATATACTTAAATCAAGAACCAAAAGTTAAAAAAAAAAGAGAGATACAATGAAACTAAGTTCAAACTCTATTAAGAGTACCACAGCTTTTTATGGCAACTTCCTTAATTTTTCTTGAGCGCATTTAAAATTTTCCTCCCTTCAGCCAACTGATGAAGATAATGATAGTGAGATAGTTCTCTTTACTTTTCTGTAGTTCTCTACTCTTTTTCTTAACTACCAGAAATTGCCATCTATCTGGAGTCAACTGCCATTTATATCCATGTGACACATAAAACCCACTGATAACTTTCAAACTTTCATCCCAAGTATTTATTTCATCACCAATGCAGATAGTATTTTTCTGACAATGGGAAAAAGGTCACCATAATTCTGTTCTCTCAGGTATGAGACTTCTGAAATCTTTTAAACTCAACTCTATTTTTCCCTGCCTGAGAATCACTAGCAAAAACCTTGCTTGGATCTGTAATGACCATGGTTCCCAGCCGGAGACAGTGGAGTGCACTCCAGGAGTTCAGTGGAGAGTAGTAACTCCTCTCGGGGGGCATTTTTGTCAGAGTTGCATGTAGTGCCCAGGGGCCAGGGATGTTAAATATGCTGTACAATGTAGAATTGTTTCACCTAACACATCAGAAGCCCCTTGAGAAACACTGAGCTCAGGGTCAACTTCATAGGCATGCAAACTGTGCAGTTCTACAGGGCACAGTGCTTCATTTAGTGTTCTGCAGTCACCATTTTAAAAATCTTCATACTTTTATGTTTGAACGTCTGTTTTATAAATGAAGTCCGGTGGTACAATGGATCTTACATTCAAGCAGAGGAGGCAATGTGTGCATCTTTTCTTTCTTGCCACCCTCTTTGCATATAGTCTTCATGGTGTGTCATAAACACAGGATTCTGATGGATCTATGGATCTAGGAACTCAGGGAGTCACAATGATGAGACAAGGCAAGCATATTACATCAATGGCTGATTTAGTGGACCGTTCCAAAAGGCTACACTCTCCATTCGAACCAGAACTTGCTTCAGATGCAAAAGGAAGGCAATGGCATCCTAAAAAATACAAATGACAGAAGGACCCCATCATACTTTTCTTACTAGTGTGTGCTACTTCCATAAATTACCATTTATACTGTAAATGATGACAGAGAAGGGAGGGGAAAGGTAAGGCAACTCATGGTTCCCTTTCCTTTCAGTCCTTCCATACTCAAATTGGTAGGATGTGTGCATATCAAGAAGGGAAATAAAAACAGTTGAGTTGGTTCTGTGTAGCATTTACACTGTTCTGATAAGCACAAAATGCATATGCATGTATAAGCTAGGAAATATGAACTGTGTAATTTTGGTGATTCTATGTATGAGTTAAATGCTTTCATATTTGCATTTATAAATGGCATTGCACAAAATAAAGATGAATGGTAAAATTCATTCTAATAATTTAAAATTCTAATTTTTCTTTACTTAGAATGACATTAAAAAGCAAATAAAAAACATCATTACAAGTCAAGGGAGAAATGACAGAAGAAAGAAAAAGCTTTATATTTTATTGAGGATAATGGTACTTTTTTCTTCCTTTTTGAACAAGGGGCCCCACATTTTTCATTTTGCTCTGGGCTCAGCAAATTATGTAGCTGGCTGTGAATGAGCTAGTTTAAGCAGAAAGGGATTAAAGGACAGTGTTTAGTTCACAGTTCTCTGAGAAAACCAGGCTTGGATAATACATCGCTATAAACAACACCCAGGAAAAACTAAACCAGAAAGAACACTCATCCCACATCACAGGGCTATTCTAGTGGAAACTCATCCCAACACCACCTGTCGGTCAGCACCTATACTCTAAAAATGGATGCGAGAACTCTTCCCCACCTACCCAGAAGAACCAAGTATCTCCACCATGGTGTTTGCCAGAAAATCCCATCTCCCTGAGTGTGGCTGAGGCATCATGTTGTTCACCTTCACACATATGTCTTGAACGGGTGCATCTGATTGCTAGAAACTAGGTCAAATGTACTGATATGCTGAAGCTAGCTGCTGATTGTTAGCATCTTTTCCAACTAATTCCACATTCAGTGAAGTCATTTTGGTAGCTTGGGAGTAATCACACCACAAAGATTGGCCAAAGCTACAAATCAGAGTTTTTCCCTCCCCCATCCATTAGTAAACATTTACCAGCACACCATCATCTAGCTGCAAGCAGCACTCTAGCTGCAAGGGAGTCTAGAAACTGTAGTTTTTAATTTTCTAGCTTCTAAAGTGCAGGAAAGCAAGCTAAAAGGGGGCTGGATGGGTGTTGGGTAAGCCATCTTATAATACCTGCTGAAAGATTATGGTAGCCATTGCCTTCTGTTCGAGATTATATAAATTGCTAATAGGCCAATACTGACAGACATACAACAGTATTGGTACAGAAGTTATGGCAGGTTTTTACTAAAAGCATGACATGATGAGTATAGGTCAGTGGACTAGAAGAGATAAATGTCAAATGAGATGACTAAAATACATTTTTATGATGCTAGACTATAAACTTTGTGAGAGCAGGGACCATGTCTGTTTTGTCTCACTGTATCTCAAATCAGCCAGCAAACGGAAGCCACTCAACAGTAACAACAACAAAAAAAGAAATACTTAAGGATATAGAGAGTTCAATTTTGGCATTTCTCTTATTCTGTGTAGATAAGACAATTCCAAATGATTTTATTTACTCCTTTTAGATGAGTTAAACCTCTGGATGTCAATAGTTTATCATGATACTTTCACATATGTTATCTCATTTGAGTCTGTACCATTCCTGAGAAGTTAAAACAGGAATTACTATCCATTTCATAGATCATGAAACAAACTCCAAAGAGTGATCTTTCCAAACTCATTCAGCTAGTAAATGACGGTTTAAAATTTTCATTTCCTGACTCAAAATTCCAGAACTCTTTCTTACCCACACATTTGATAGTGATTAATTAGGGAAGTATTCTCAGGTTTTCAATTCAAGCTTCAGCTTAAACTCAATTACGTGCAATGGACAAAACATCCTAATTTCATGCGCAAATGTTTTTCTTCAAGAGTGAACATTCTTTCCTTGGCCTTTTGGAAAGATTTGAATTGTGGTTGCAATTGCCTTTTCTTAGTCAATGATGTTGATTCAAGAGGTAGGGGGAAGGAAACCCTTTTCTAGAAATAGTTAATCCATGAATTTGATACTTCTACCTTTTTCTAGTTAGGAATAGTATAATTTAAATATTATGGATGTACTTGAATTATAATATAGTACAGGGACTCTCGATTTTATATTACTTTAGAATCATGAGTGGTGGGTGAGGTTGCTAAGACAGATTTCCAGGCCTCATCCCTCAAGATGTGACTTAGTAAGAGCCAAAATATTAAATTTTAAAACTCCAGTGCCATAGAATATTATGAGAATCACTGGTGTCATGCATCTGACATTCAGCTTGACCAAAAATATTTATTTTACGAGAAAATGCATTTTAGCACAGTAACGCTATTTTTAAATCACTTCCATAGGCTTCTAAAACTTAAATCAATTTAAGAGATTTGCCTTTTAAAAAAATATTAGGTAATTTCCTGTATATTAGAAGTCTTGCTACCTATGTTTATTATAATCATGCTCTGAGGTTGAAAACTGCAGGCTAATTTACTGTGGTAATCAGTCTCAAATCCCTTGGAGCATAAATTCTTATTAGCGTTATATGTTATGGAATTTACAGACAGCTTCTTACCAGTGATCTGTCCCTTTGAGCCTTTTGATTTTCCTATTTGAAGAACCAAAATGGTTCAAAATGAGGATCTCTCACACCACTTAAAAAAATATATGGCAACCTACTAACCATTAAAATACACCTGTATCATACATAAGTGTGAATGATCTCTAATTAGGGCAGGGTGAAAATGACTGTCAAAAGTCCTTTATTCAGTGCCATACTTCGAACTTGAAACCATGGTTTCTGCCTCCTACTGCTTAAATCTTTTTGTTGGGAAGAAACCCTTCTGGTTTTGTTAAGTGAAACTCTCGTTCCACGGAGGAGGAAACTAAGGTCCGAAGAAACCAAATTATTTGTCCAAGGTTACACCCAGTATTAGTGACCAAGTCAGACAAAACCCCTCGGTTCCAATATGATGGCCAACCCAGCTGCTTGTTACTACCCCCTTTTTTTTTTCGATTTCATAAATGCACCCCTATCTATTCCCCCCCCCTTTTGGATAAAGTTGTTTTGTTTAACAGTCCTTCCCTACCTCCTTTTGCTTTTATGCCTTTGGGTAGTAAAACCTCAAACAAATAGTTAATAACACTGGGTGTCCACATCTAATGCGGTGACTTTCACGGGCCTTTTTCTTTGGCGGAACATTTCTCTGAAAGGCTCTTAATCCTGGATTCTGTCGGGGGAGGGAGAAGGGGAGGGAGGTCACTGAGCGCGGACAAGTCCTTACATGTACACGCGCGCGCCCGGGACGCAGCCTGGGGGGTCAAAGAGGGAACCAAGGAAGGATCTGTTAGGGCGGGAGAAAAACACCGCGGTGGGAAGTCCCTGAGCACCGGATCGGCCAACCCCTGGCAAAGCTAAGCAGAGCCGAGCGTGAACAAACCCCTTTAGGTGGCCAGGCGCAGACACTGCAGCAGCGCGTAAAGAGAGGGGGCGCGGCGACTCTAGCCGCACGAGCGGGAGGGAGCGCCCGGGCGGCCCTTTTATAGGCCGGAGCCCGCGCTCGCGCGCCCCCGCCCCTCGCACCGCCCCCGGGCCACGCGCAGAGCCGCGGCGTTACCTGAGAAGGGCCGGCTGTGTCCGTGACCGGCCCCGCCCGTTCCGCTGCCCGCCCTCCCGCGAGGCCGCGGCGGCACGAGATCTGCGTCTTGCCTTCCTCCTCCCGCGGGCGGGTTTTCTTACCTTGTAAAAAGCCGTCTCCGCGGCTGCCCCCGCCTCCTCCGCAGGATGTGAAATGGCGGTCGGCTAGGCGAGCGTGAGCACCGCAGGTCCAACTTATCACGCCTAGCCGCTAAAACGGCCCCGAACACTGACGGCCCCCCTCCCGCAAGCCCCTCGGAGCCCATCCATGACATCGGCGCTCCGCCGCCCCCCTCCGCTGCCCCTACCCAGGTGGTCGTGCCCACCGGCCGAGTCATCGATTCCCCGCGCCAGTCGTGGGCCGAGCTTTCCACCAGCTTCCTCCCTCGCTGCGAGCCCCGGGGGCGGGGGGAGAAAACACCTTCTCGGCCCCCGCCCGGGTGTCCCGCTCGGGTGCCCGCCCCGCTCCCTCCCTTTCCCGCCGCGTCCCCTCCCCCAACTACTCACCGCCCTCCCTTCGCCACACACACACAACCCCCTCCTCCCCTCCCCCGGTGGTTGCGTCCGTGACATCATCATCATGGCAACAAGAGCTGCAGCCTGGGACCGAGGAGCCCGTGTGATTCCCGGCGGTGGCGGCAGTGGCGGCAGCACCAGCACCGACGAAAGCGCCAGGGCTTCTCTCCTATTGCCCCTCGCCGGGTGCTCCTGAGAAGGCGGCGGCAGCAGTGCCAACACCGCCCCGCCCGCCGCCGCTGCTCACGGTTTCTGTGTGTGTGTGTGTGAGGGGAGGGGGCCGAGCCGAAGAGGGGAGGGGGCGCCGCCGCTGTGGGGCCGTCGCTGCGGAAGAAGCCGCCGCCGCCGCCGCCGCTGCTGCTGCTGCTGCTGCCGCCAGATCGCTCGTGAAGAGGAGGCGGTGGCGGCGGCGGCGAACATGTTTTCAGTGAGGATAGTGACTGCCGACTACTACATGGCCAGCCCGCTGCAGGGGCTGGATATCTGCCAATCCCCCCTCACCCAGGCCCCTGTCAAGAAGGTGCCGGTGGTGCGAGTCTTCGGAGCGACCCCGGCAGGTAAGCGGGCGCGGGGCGCGGGCTGGAGCCGGCGGGGCGCCGGGGCTGCCCTCCCCGCCGCGCACACGCGCGCACGCCGCCGGCCCTCGGTGTATCGCTGTCGCCTCTTCCCTCCTCTCCGCCCTTCTCGCCTTTCCCCGGGTGCGTGACAAGAGGCGCAAAAATGAGGGTCCGCGCGAGCGCTGCGCCGCCTCCTCCCCGGGGAGGGAGGCGGCGGGCGCCGAGTGTTTACAGTGCGTTCGGCGGTCGGGAGCCGAATCCGGACTCCCTGTCTCGGGCCGGAGGGAAGCGAGCGCCCAACAGCTCCCTGGCCCAGGAGGATGGGCCAGGTGGCCGCGCCATGTCCTTCTTGAACGGGTTCACAGGGCCCCGCTCTGAGGTCTGTCGCTGGTGGGACTGCGGACACCCCCGCGCGTCTCCCAAGTGCCCTTTCTGGAAATGGCTTTAAGAGGAGTGAGGAAGTGTCAGCTCTCTGTATTCAGTCTCTCCTCGCCGCCTCTCGCCCGCGCTCTCCTCTGCCCCTTCCGGAGATGCCGCGGGCTGAAGAGTGGCGCCTGGGGCCAAATAATCTTTCGCGTTGAAGTGACCATGTGGTTCTGCTGTGAGTGCAGGTCGTGACTCCTTAGAGTTTGAGCCTCAGAGTCTGGGGACTGGGCAGCATCCTCAGGTGCATTGCTTTGAGGGAAACGTGGATCCTTGGGAGTAAGAAATACGTGTGTGCTGCCCAACGTAAAACATCCCACTCAATAACGTGAATTTCTTAAGAACCACAGCTAAACTCAGCAACACATTTAGAAATGCCCCTATGCTGAGTTGTGGTATTGCATTTTAAATACACGTATCTTTAAAATAAAAACTGTTTTGATGAACGAGTAGGGTGGGGAGACAGCAGTGACAGAGCTACATTCTCAAAAGCTCTTAGGGATTTGTGATAATATATAAATAGGTAGTGGCCAGATTTACACGGTTTTAAATCGTTGTGATTTTCGACACGCTTTGAACTACCTACATGAAATAGTGGAGCTGCCTCCTAGAAAGGGATGCTCTTACCTCTAGCTATGTATTGCCCTATGGGATTTTAGATAGCATTTCCCACTTGATGCTCCTTGCCCTAATCACAATTCATCTTATTACTACTGTTTCTGTGGACTACCAAGATAATAACACTTTCTCAAACACAAGCACTCATTTTCACGCAGTTTTCTTTTAATGTGAATTCTCTTTGTTAAAAATTTCAGTGTTGTTAGTGAGATTTGTATTCCTTTTTAAAATAACGAAAACGATTTTGATGATAGGGACCTGGTAAAATGGGGACTTTGAGTGCTATTCATTTGGTGAAAGTATAACACCTGAAACTTTGGAGGCTGGAAAATAGAGGCAGTGAAGTTCTGAAGGATAGATTTTCTGCCCTTTTAAATGTATTGGTGCTGTCTTTGTTTCTAATGGGAATATCAGTGTAATATACTGTTTGTTCTCACTTCAAGTACAGAGGAAGAATAAGATAGTGACGTTCATATAGCTCTCTTCAGCCAGATTTCCGATTATAAAGTGATATGCTAATAGGGTATATTGTGGCATTTCTATGTATTAAAGTTTGTATGATTTGCATTACTTTACACATAGTTGTTTGTTTGGTTTTTTCCCCCCTCTACACAAGTCATTGTGTAGATATTGGATATCATCCAATATCCCTGGATGATTTTCAAGCTGTGTTATAGAAGTTTTGTTTGTGGAATAAGTGAATTTCACTGTGAGCTAGCAGTAATTCTATAATGTGAGAAAATATTCTTTGAAAGATAAAGATGATAAGATACTTTTGTGTTTTTCAATATAAAAAAACAGACATGGGACTATTTGATGATAAATATTTATTTTTTCCCTTCTGGACATCTTACAATAGATTAACAGCCCCCCCCATACTTTGAAATGTATAATGTAAATGAATATGGATGACTTTTTTGTACATATATTGAAGGATATAAAACTTGATACAAAGAAACTGAAACTTAAAGTTGTTAAGGAGTATCAAATTGAGTTTACTATAAATATAGTTCTCCGTTTCACACATAACTTCTGTTTCTTCAACAGGTGAAAAAATGTGAAGTCACTGGCATACATTTAGAGTTTATAGCCTTCAGAAATCAAGCCAACATTTTTAACATGTTAGAAACTCCCAGTAAAATTAGTATTAATGAAACGTAAGCAAAAACTGTACAATTATCTGCTCCTGAATTCTCTCCCCAAAGACAACTAGTCCAGTTCACCCATTAAAATAAAACTTGAAAATAACATAAAAGGTCAATCTGACTTAGTAAAACTCTGAATGATAGAATTTTTAATGAAGACAGTTTTATTGTTTGGAAATACAAACTGTTTATTTACTAATTAGTAAAACTAATGAAATAGTAACATGATAAATCTATGTTACATAGAGTACCATAAATTTAAGCCTTTCACATATAGTAGTTAATTTTGGAAGTCCTTAATTATCTTGATTTGGAGAAAAGCTGTTTTTAAACTGAGTTTGCTTTATAAATGAGTCCTGAAAAATAAGCAGGAAAAATTGTTCCCCAAATAAAGAGGGCATTTTATATTTGTATTATAAATTCTGAACTGATTGGTTTCTTACATTTTTGCTAGTTCAGTTTTTCTATTCAAAAAGGTAATTTTCTGCTTTAGAAAACAGTCCGGTTGACTTCTGATTGTCCTGTGTTTTGAGGGCATATCTTGAATAATTTAAGAAATAAATTAGGTTTAAAAGCTCTCCTATCGTGAGTTGGTGAAATTTGAAAAGATATTAAAGAAAGTGGCATATTCAAATTTGAATGGTAAATCCTGACTCATTTAATCCCTTGCCGACTGAGGATATTGATTACTGAATCACTTTTTCTTCATGTGAGTGATGGAATTATTTTTTAAAACCAAAAAACCTCTTCTGCTTTTCTTCACTCATTTAAAAATGTCTTGATCGTTGTTTTGATATAACAATGTATTGAGCAATGTAACAACGTTTCGGTAACTTGTTTTAATGGAGAGAAGCAAGGTTATAAATAACTAAAGCAGAGGGCTGTGTTTTTTCACTTAGATTTGAATACAGGTGTGACTGCTCTGGGAATTCACTGCAAATAAAATCCTGAGGCTTCATTGTGAAGACCTGACTCTGGTGGATCTGGGAAGCTGTCCGGTTTCCACATCCCAACTCTTGCTTAGTTCCTTGATGTAACTCACTTCGTGTTGAGTTTAGAAAGCTCTCAGTTTTCTTAGCACCAGGTTAAACAGAATTATCCTCTCAAAAAGCTTCCCTGCTGAGATGTAGAGTAGGAGTAAATAGAAGAGTGTGAGTGAGATGTTCACACAGCAAGTAATTAACAAAGTAGGCCAAACAGACTATAGAGGGAGCTGCCTGTCTTTATGATTACTGTGAGGAACTCTGCCACTCCCCCCTCTAGTCTTCCTCCAGGTAGTAAAAATTTTGGTAGATTGTTCTATATGCTAACTGTTAAACATGAAATCAAGTTTTTCAACATAAGAAACTGATCATTCTGAAATGCTGTATAAATTTATGTGGTTTAATAATCTCACTTCTTTTGTAAATTGGATTATTAACTAAGTTTGAGACCAATACAGTTTTGAAAAACCATAGCATTTATCAACAATTCAAATTACAACTAATTTCAACTAATTTCTCTAATAAAACTCTTGTTTGTTCATAGTGTTTTTTTTTTTTTTGCTAAGCCATTTAAAAATATTTTAAGATCACATAATATTTGATGTAATTACTAGAAAGGTTTTTCAGGAGCACTACTGAGATTTAGTGATTTACTACAAACAAAATTAATGACTTTAGTAGGCATTTGGAGCCCTGAGTAGCAAATTTTGTTAGCTTTCTGTATTATATTTGATTTAAAATCACAATTAGTAAATCAGAGGATGAAGCAGGGCCCTCTTAAGTCTGGACACAGTAGAATCTGGTAATAGTGATTGGGTTCATTCAGTGAACACTTAATGAGAACGTCTTATGTATATTGAGCTATTTTTGGTGTCATGAACAACTTTTACCCTCTAGACTCTCACAATATATAGTAGAGATGACATGGAAACATAAGTCAAACATAGTTTGGAGTATGATGGAAAATGTGTTTAAGAAAGCAAAGACTTAAA